TTTTTAATTATGCCCAGGTTCTCACTTGAAGGAATCGGTGATCCACTGTAACTAGATATGAAATCCCATGAAGCCTAAGTTTCTTCTTCCTGTTAATAGCAGCTTGCAGAGAAGAGCAACCAAATGGGTGATAGAAATCAAATTGGTTTACACTAGCTCGTGGAAAAGATATTGGATATTGGGCCTTTGAATACTGCTTTCATCTGAGCGCGTAATTTTTCTTGACGTTCGTTTATTGCACCTTGCTAGAAATAATCTCTTGCAGGTATACTCAAATTTTTTAAAGGTCTGTCTTACTCTTAATTGGTTAGTTAAATGAAATCTTTTGTTCTGCATTGGATTGCACAAGACGACGTATCTGCCTATGTTTTCTGCGACCTGATCTTAGTCGTATTCATCAGTGCTCTTGACATTGTGCATAGTCGTTTCACTTTTGGTGTTATATCAATATCCGTAGCCAATATTTTGATACATTAGATGTTGTGGCTTATCATTGGTCCTGATGCATTAAACTTTCATTGTTATAAGAATCATTTTGCTCTTTCATTCCATGAGCGTAGTGTCCTGGGATTACATTAATTATTTTACTGCCTTCTCTCCTGCTGTTATTGTAAATCTGTGATTAAAACGTGCTACTTGAAATTTCTTTGTGGTGGTGAGCCAACCTTCCTAATATCTTACAAATACTTTATTTAGTTTATTGTTTCGTAATTTAAAACCAAGGACATCTTTTTATGATCATAGTCAGGCTTCATACAGTGATTTCGAAATTGTTTTGATCTTTTTTCTCAAGTCCCTTTAAATATTAGAATCATCACGAAAGAATTGTACTTTGACTGATTTGCGATGTTCAAACCGACCATAGTTGCTACCTTGACGTGGTGGTCGGTCTTGCCTATCGTCATGACCCAACCGAGCTACATTGGCTGGAACATATGTTCCTGTAGGTTCTATCATGCCAGGCAGGTTGGTTGGAAAGTGATGAGACTAGAAGCAGGAACTAAGATCTGAGGGTGAAGTCATACTGCTGACTATAGAGGGGTGTGACAGCAGTAAGGTTTCCCATAAAAGCGTACGAGACCGAATCGGTCACAATCTAATCCTTTCTACACCTCCTAATAACTCTCTTATCTCTTCGATCAACTGTTCCTTCGGTTGTTTGTCACCCAGCGCCTCTGAAGCAAACGGTTTAAGCTCATGAAAGATTATTACTGGTCTCCTTAAACCCCGTACTAAATTACATGTTGGAGCTTTTAATATTCGAAGATTGTGCCAAATAGGGCAACAGGCTTCATTTATTAGAACTCTGGAATCCCGGGCGATCTATGTATGTTGCGTCTCCGAAACGCTCATACAAGATCCGAGTAAAATCATCAATTTGATTTCAGCTAGTGCAGATAGAGAAACAACACGGTTTACGCTTCGTGTTTCTGGAAGCCGTGATGCTGCTTCCCATGGCCTCTCTAGCGTAGGTATAGTATTAAGTCCTATTGTAGAACAAGCTCTCTTAGACTGGATCCCGGTAGACAATCGCCTATGCGCTGTATGACTAAACGGGCCGGTATGGACTCGGAAAGATAGGGACACTCGCCGTTGCCTCCTCGTCGTATCTTCCTACGCTCTCACTGACTTCAGTTCAGACGAGGTAAAAGATGAGTTTTACCGAACGCTTCCGGACCTCCGAAAAGGTAGGTGCTCTGATATAGTAATGATGGCTGGCGACCCTAATGCTCGAGTAGGTAGACTAGGTGAACAGGAAAGACCTGAGTGGATCTTTTGGTGTCGCGGCTAATAAAACAGTGGTGACTGTCTGCTGCAGGTATGCTCAGATAACCGCCTATTTCTAGCAAACACTAACTTTAAGCATAGGGAAAAACATCTTTTGACCCGGCGACCCCCAAAGCCGACCCAACGATGGACCCAACTAGATCACATTGCCATCAGCCATTGATGGAGAGGTTCCATTGAAGACCACCGCTCATTCTGGAGCACTTGTTTAGAATCAGACCATGCTCTAGTGCGAGCGCGTATTTGTTTGTGTCTCACTGGACGTAAGAAAAATATTTCAAGGAAACCTCTTAGGGTTCTACTTAATGATGATAAAGCTAATAATGTATTTCAGGAACAACTAGGATAACAGTTAGGCAGCCATGTAGTAAGTGATGCAGCTTGGAATGATATCAAAAAGGCTGTGGAAACAGCAGCGGTATCTGCTCTTAAGGTAAACCATAAGGTTAGGGAGGAGCCGTGGATTTCAGTAGCACCTACGGAACTGACCGATGTTCGGAAGCTCATCCCGCCTGGCTGTGAGTGTGATGACGAGCGGAGTCAGCTTAAGCACTGGCTGATAAAAAGCCTACGCAATGATCGCAAACAGTGGTGAGTAGCAAAAGCAAGGGAGATGGAAAAGGCGACGGCAATAGGCAACAGTAGACTACTATTCAGACTCATCAAGGAAACCGGTATTAGGAATCCGAATTTAAGTGAGACTATATCAGAAAAGGATGGTCTTATTATTCATTCTCAATCCAGGAGATTGAATTGATCAGTTCAATTGGCCTTCAGCCACACTTCGGTTGCCCATAATATTTTGTGAACGTCAGTGGGATTTCCTGTTCCATTCCAGATGCCAATGTGCAACCGTTGGTTCTCACTAACTAAGGACTCATGCGTTTTGTTTACACACCTTGATACACATAATAAAGTCAAGTACTTTATGTGGCCCGGTGAGGCGCAACATATCACTCACTTTGAAAATGACTTGATTGATATTTCGTCTCTAATGGTGAAGTCCAACTTTCTGTATATTTGAGGGTTTCTATTCGAGTGTGTATAGTCAGCCTTTTTTGAATTTAAATCTCATTCTAATATTGTTTCTTTTTGCACTTTTTTGATTGCATATTTTTTCATTAATAAATATACAGCGTTTTGGCTTAGTTTAGAAATCTGTTGTAAATTACACCTAGATTTTCAAAGTCAGGTAGTAGTACTTTTAGTAGTTGTTATCTCATAGCTGTCTGCGATTGCTACTCATCCGTTTCCGGGAAAAGAATAAAATACTTTTTTGGAACCACGAAGGAATTAGTTTAACTTTTACCATTTTTAAAACATTAGCTTCAATAATTATCAAAGTCTAAACTAGGATTCGTAAAGAATAAATTGGAGAAAATCATCTCAACTTCCGACACGGAACTAGATGTACTAGTCAATCGTTTTCCTTCAGGTAATACAACACAAATGTGTCTATCTCTCCGCTATTATTAATCGAAAAACTGTAATTTGTTGCAGCTATGAAAATCGATCTCTAACAAATAGATAATTCGCAGGTTACCATTCTTTGATGATAGGCATTTTTGAGGTATGGTTTGCAGGTGCTGAGACCGTGAGAATCATAATGGTGAAGTTAAAGGCGGAGCACTTGGAAAAGGCGACAAATCAGCTGGCAGTATTGCAGATGTTCAGACAGACAGACTGTTACGGCACAGAACTTCGTACGTAGGTACATCAGTTCAGGTTGCCATACCTCATTACCACAAAGACGCAACTGTCAGTTCAAATCCAATCGTGGTAGCGATAGCAGAAGTATTAGCAGTAATGGAGAAGATTACGGTTCGAGCATATGACTCGAGAAGTATAATTCAGGGAGACAAATTTAGACAGAGGAATGGATGATGGGGAATTCAGAATTTTAGAATTTGAGCAAACACCAAGAGTGGATGCACCTACGCCATTGCAAACGATTTTGAGCCATGTCATTTAAGGTCTCTAACTATTGGTGACTTTAGTCTCGCAGACCCCAACCAGGTGATAGCCTACATCTACCAACATGACTCAGTCCACTTGTCAGTGACTTCATGGATTTTTGCCATGTTTTGGTCTGGCCGCCCCTAGCTTTCTTCTAACCTACTTCTACACCACAAAACATAGCTTGTCGAGGCAGTCGGTGGTTGTGCATTCGTAACACATGCATGTCCCAACCACCTCAACTGATGAAGTTTCAATACTTCATCTATTGATCTGCCATCCCTACTTAGTACTCGTTTTCTAATGAGAGCATTGCTCACTCAGTTGTCCCAGAATATACGAGCAATGCTTCGGAGACACCTATGATCGAAAACAAGCAACCTACGAATGTCCTCTACTCTTACCGGCCATGTTTCGCATCCGTATATTAGGACGGGGCGGACTGCTGCACGTTACATTCTTCCTTTGGTTAGCAAACGGAAATCTCGCCTGCTCCATAGATGACGCAACTTGGCAAAAGCCAATCGAGCTTTCTTTATCCGTGCTGAGGTTTCGTCAGTCACCAGGCCGTCGGCACTGATGAGACTCCTGAGGTAAGTGAAGTGGTCACTCCCTGTCACTAGTTTAATTGCCGACGCAAGCCAATCTTGAATCAACATTTAGCATTTCAAGGGTGAGAACCGCATCCCGAACATGCTTGGATTGTTACTTAGGGTAGTCAGAATACTCTGTATTTTGTCAGTGTCTTCAAGGAATAGGACTATGTTCATCTGCGAAGGTTGTTGGGATATGTATTACTTACGCCAACCTGCTTCTCAGCTCAACCTGTAACGATAGCTGGAGTGAGAGTAAGTTAGAAGTATACTTGGAATGGATAAACTCCGTCATAACACTCTTAGTTTCAAAATTATCTGGTACATGCTGTTTTAGGAACCCAGTACATCTCTGTTTAATCTTTGTAAATCTTATCCATATACTTCTCTAGCTCACATTTCGATTATTTCATTTCTGCACTGATGTGGTGTGGTAACTTGAACCGATAGGAATATATTCTTTAACCGGCTGATTATTAATTATAATTCGGGATTATTTGTTCAAGCTGATGGTTATGAAAACATAGCTATATTTTTTCTAAACTGATGTTGGTCATTCTTCCTAGTATACCTGATAAATATTATTTTTTACCTACGACCCTATCTCAAAAGCCGTTTACTGTTTTACTCTATAGACTTCATTTGCTCAAAAATATCTGTCTGATGGTGTCGGGATCATTAAGCAACTTTTCTTCCGCAGTCAACAAAACTGCAGGTGAGTTATATTAAAAATTCTATGTTGTAGGGTCTGTAAATGCATTATGTGAATTGGTAGAAAAGTCTCAAGACTTTCTGATTCGGAATGTCCATTCATTGGACTTCATGTTGGATGACTTTGATATTACGAAGTTTGGAATTTTACATGCAGCTGTATTGTTAGTTGTAAACTATTTTATGCTTACAGTAGACATGCCAAATATCTTTCACAATCGGTCGTTGATAAAGACTGGTTAATAATCCAGACTCAAAACTTCTTCAATCTCTGCAGTCCAGAGTCTTTACAGAAAATTCCATCTTATGGTAGGTATATGTTTGTGACTAACGTGCAGTCCGTGTAATTTCACATGAATTTACGAGCTGCTTGATCAATATGGGAATTCCACACAAGGGAATAAGTTGTACGGTCAATGCTATTCGCAAACTTCAGAAATGTTCGGAATACCTTACTCCACTACACTGTGACCTATGCCAGGTAATTGCTTATTTATGTACACGGTGTGCAGCTTGCATTAGCTGCTAAAATGTTTAGTCCCACTCTTTCCATTCTCGATACTGAGATATTAGAAATCGAAAAAAATGTATGTGTTTTACGTTGTTTGTGGTTACCAGTTTATATAGAGTACAGCTCTTGAGGCAAAAGATTATCTCCTTTATTTTTACTATGGAGGAATGATTTATGGTGCAGTAAAGAACTGGGAGAGAAGCCTACACTTCTTTGAATTGGTAAATTATCTGTTCATTTTAATTAAGTATGTAATTTCAGTGTTTAATTATCCCTGCCGTATCATCAAGCTGTATTTTGATTGAAGCTGCAAAAAAAATCATATTAATCTCCTTGATATCACATGGTAAAGTACGTCAATCTATTTCGTTCTCCTTTTAATTACAAAACAGTGCTTATTGTATACACTTAAATTGATTTCATGGTTAGTAAGCCACAATCCACCAGACGAACACAGTAGTAGCTATTCTTCTTTGTTATTATTGTTGCAATTAGTTAAAAAAACTTTCCGCATACTGTCATCCGAATGGCACAGTATGTTTTATCAAAAATATTAATACAAAGGAGCACCATCATGCTAATGCACCACACAATGAGATTGAAGAAATAAAGTAAACTGAGCACAAATATAACAAATGCTTAATGATAGGTGAGAAATAATTGTAGAAGCAGTTTAGTTGGCGAAAATACAACTGGAAGGAATTTCTCGATTTAAAGTTCTCACCTCTGAGAAATTACAAGTTACAGTAAGACAGCCACTTGCTTCTTTTCTGAGCCATACCGAAGTCGGCATTTCAAGATAGTAACACTAATTCAATTATCGTCGCTGTTTCCGAACACACGTTGCCGAACTTCGTCATTACTCACTTGATGTTGCCGCTGAATGTCGGCATTCCCTCAGAGACAACGGTGATCAAACATGAGAGTCGCTAAGCCCTCCCAACTCAGACCAATAAAGTGCTAAATCGCTCTCATCGAAGCGTTATAGATCCGAACCTAGACAGCCAGACTAACATCACGAAGTCTCCAAAGATGGTTGAGATCGGTATAAGCTGCTCTGGCTTTCACTGTACGTATATCGGTCACAACACTAACGCCACCACCATCACTTACACGGCTACCCAGATGCACAAGCTTTTCGACTCCTATTTTCTAGCTACGAAGAGTGATTGGAAGCACGGAATCCTACCAGTTTTGAGAAAGCACTTTACAATTGTAAAATGGAAAGCACATGTCATACCTACGGACACAGATTGCCAACTGATTAAGTGCGGATTGTATGACCTATGTATCATGATAAAGTAAGACAACGACATCATCTGCATCATCAAAATCCAAAAGTCTTTCTCCAGGTAACGGATTCACACCACCGCTACTTGCATCTATCAGAGCTGTTTCCAGAACGTTATCCACAGCAAAATCGAAGAGGTGTGGTGATATGGAGCTACTCTGCCTAAACCAACAGAACGGCCTGTTCAACAAATCCAAGGCGGCCCCGATGTTCAGAAACACATTGATTGTTGGTCTGCAATAAATGTGGTAGTGTTTTGACATTTGGCGTGGGACGAAGATATGGCCAATGTACCCTTGAATAGAACGAAACCAGCCTGCTCCTCGCGAGTAGATCTTTCTCGTTTTTGAACAATCTGCGAACTACGACGGAGGCCTATAATTTGGACACTATCGGTTGTAGACTTATCCCCGAATAGTGCTTGCATAGACGATGTGAATCCTTTTTCAAGTTAGGGACAACTGTCGTCACTCCAGAATATTCGAACACTCTTTAATTACGGAATGCTTGCGAATCGCCTAGTAAATTCCTTTGCCAGAATGTCTCCATCTTTATAAGTGGAAGGTCATAAGTCATCTGGATCTGATCATTCAGTTGCAACGTAGAACTTCGTGCGTATGTACATAAGTTCAGGTTGCCATACAACATTAGCACAGAGACGCAAATGTCAAATCAAATCCCATAGTGATAAAGATAGTAGAGGTATTAATGGTAATGAAGAAGACTAGGGTTCGAAGATATTATTCAAGAAGTATAATTCAATGAGATAAGGTTAGAAAGACAAACGTGGAGGTGCTGACAATTCCAGAGAGAGCACAGCGAATGGATGCACTTGCGCCATTGCAAACGATTTTGAGCCATGTCGTTCAAGGTCTCTAACCATTGGTGACTTCAGTCTCGCGGACCCCAACCAGGTGATAGCCTAAATCTACCAACATGACTCAGTCCACTTGTCAGTGACTTCATGGATTTTTGCCATGTTTTGGTCTGGCCGCCCCTAGCTTTCTTCCAACCTACTTCTACACCACAAAACATAGCTTGTCGAGGCAGTCGGTGGTTGTGCATTCGTAACACATGCATGTCCCAACCACCTCAACTGATGAAGTTTCAATACTTCATCTATTGATCTGCCATTCTTACCTAACACCCGTTTCCTAACAACAACCTTGCTTACTCGGTTGTCCCACGGTATACGAGCAATGCTTCTTAAGCATCTATGATCGAATACTAGTTAACCTAGGAATATCTTCTACTCTCACTGGTCATGTTTCACAGCCATAAAGCAAGACGGAGCGAACTACTGCACAGTACACTCGTCCTTTAGTCAGCAAACGGAAATCTCGCCTACGCCATCAGTGACGCAAGTCGGAAAAAGCCAATCGAGCCTTCTGAGTCCCAGCTGAGATTTCGTCAGTCAACAGGCCATCAGCACTGATGAGACTCCCCAGATAAGTGAAGTGGTCAACACGTTCGACTACTTCACTCCCTATCTTATCTTGGGAGTCTCATCAGTGCCGATGGCCTGGTGACTGACGAAATCTCAGCACGGATACAGAAGGCTCGATTGGCTTTTGCCAACCTGCGTCACTTATGGCGTAGGCGAGATATCCGTTTGCTGACTAAAGGACGAGTGTACTGTGCAGTAGTTCGCTCCGTCTTACTTTATGGCTGTGAAACATGGCCAGTGAGAGTAGAAGATATTCGTAGGTTAATGGTTTTCGATCATAGGTGTCTTCGAAGCATTGCTCGTATATCGTGGGACACCCGAGTGAGCAACGCTGTTATTAGGAATCGGGTGCTAGGTAAGAATGGCAGATCAATCGATGAAGTATTGAAACTTCACCAGTTGAGGTGGTTGGGACATGTGTTGCGTATGCCCAACCACCGGCTGCCTCGTCGAGCCTTGTTTTGTAGTGTAGGAATAGGTTGGAAGAAAGTTAGAGGCGGCCAAACCAAAACATGGCAGAAATCCATGAAGTCATTGACTAGTGGACTGAGCCATGTTGGTAATTGTCGACTACCTGGTTGGGGTCCGCGAGATGATAATAATCGATGGTTAGAGACCTTGAATGACATGGCTCAAAATCGTTCGCAATGGCGCCGGTGCATTTATTCTCTGTGTTCTCTCAAATGCTAATCTTTTTGGATTCTTCAACACCTCTAGTTTCGACTCTCTAAACTTATCTCACTGAATCATACTTCTTGAATAATATCTTCTAATCCTAACCTCTCCGATTATTTCTAATTCCCTTACTACCTCTTCTACTATTGGATTTGAATTGACGATTACTTCTCTCTGCTGATATGGTATGGCAACATGAACTGATGTACTTATGTACAAAGTTCTACGTTGCATCTGACTGACTGACTTTACTCCCTATCACTAGTTCAGGTGCCAATGCAACCCAATCTTGAAGCAACATTTTGCATTTCGAGGGGGAAAACCGCATCCCGAACATGCTTGCATTGTTGCTTATGGTAGTCAGAAGACTCTGCATTTTGTCAGCGTCTTCACCGAATAGAACTATGTCATCGGCATATTCTAAGTCAATAAGCAAGCCACCTGGTCGAAGGTCCACTCCTGAAAATTCAGACGATGATAAGGTTATTTCTAGGAGCATGTGTATGATAAAATTATAGGGGAACTTACGTCGATTTGTCATTTAGGATGACTGGAGATCGTGGGTAACCGAATAATGGCTCGAGACCAGTTGAACTGATCCTCGAAGTGTTCTGCCCATCGGTCCAGTCTCCTGGATTGAGAATAAATAATAGTCCCGTCATTTTCTGAGATAGTCTCACTTACACTAGGATTCCTAATACCAGTTTCCTTGATAAGTCTAAATAGTTGCCTACTGTTGCCTATCGCCGCTGCCTTTTCCATCTCTCTCGCTTTCTCCACCCACCACTGTTCTCGATCATTGCGTAGGCTTTTTGTCAGCCTACGTCTACGCTGACTCCGATCCTCATCTCACTCAGAGCCAGGCGGGATAAGTTTTCGAGCATCCATCAGTCCGGTAGATGCTGTTGAGATCCACGGCTTTACTTTAGCTTTATGGTTTACCTTACTAGCAGATATCACTGCTGTTTCCACAGCCTTTTTGATATCATACCAACGTGCTCCCGGATGGGAATCGCTTACATGGTTGCTTCATTCTCTTTCTAATTGCTCCTGAAATATATCTGTAGCTTCATTGTGATTAAGTAAAACCCTAAGAGGCTTCCTTATGGTGTCTTTCCTACGTCCAGTAAGCCTCAAACAGATGCGCGCTCGCACTAGGGCATGATCTGAATCTAAACATGTGACCCAGAACGAGCGACAGTCCTCTATTGAACCCCTCCATCGGTGGCTGATGGCGATGTGATCTAGTTGAGTCCATCGTTGAGACGACTTTGGAGGTTGCCAGGTCAAGAGATGCTTTTCCTTATGCCTAAAGTTAGTGTTTGCTAGAAATAGTTGGTTATCTGAGCATACTTGCAACAGTCGGTCTCCATTGTCTGTTCTCTGAGCTGCGATACCATTACATCCACCAAGATGTCTTCCCCCTACACTGAGTTTACCTACTTGAGCATTAAAGGCACCAGCCATTAATACTACATCGGAGCGCCTAGCATTTTGGAGTGCGTCCGAAAGCTTTCTGTAAAACTCATCTTTCACCTCTTCTAAACTGCAGTCTGTGGGGGCATAGGCAGATATGACGAAGAGGCAGCGGCGAGTGTCCCTATCCTTCCGAGTCCTTACTGTCCCGTTTAGTCGGTCGGCGCACAAGCGACTATCTACTTGGGATCCAGTCAAGGAAAGATTGTTCAGCTCTACGACTCGATGCTATGCCTACGCCAGCAAGACCCCTGGAAGCAGCATCAGGGCTACTGGATACACGAAGAGTAAATCTAGCTGCTTCTTTATTTTGACAAGGTGAAATCAGATTAATAATTTTACTAGGATCCTGTATGCGCGTTTCCGAGACACAGCAAACTTCGATTGTGCGAGATTCTAAAGTACTAGCCAATGAAGCCTGTGAACCTATTTGACTCAATATCCGTACATTAAAAGCTCCAACATGTAGTCTAGAACGGGGTTTCAGGAGACCAGAAGTGACGTTCGGTGAACTCGCGTCGTTTGTATTAGCTGCGCACTGTGATAAAGTAATGTGAGTAGAGTTAGTCGTGGAGATAAGAGGGGTATGTGTGGGTGTAGGAAGGATTTGATTTCGGTCAATTTGGTTTCGTGTGCTGTTACGGGTATGAGTGCGGTTGTCACTTCCCGGCTGCCCACACCGTGCAAGGTTGTTTCTTGAGGGACCTGAAAACGAAGATAGATTAGTGTTGGTCTTAACGACCTGGGAGCGTGACCGCAGAGTCCAAGGGACAACTGCTTGAGACCGGTCACGCACGGCCTTTTTATGAAGGGTTTTTGAGTATTAGCTCCGCTCTTAAAGGCCCTTAGTGGGCACCCTTAACACCGGAGACAGAAATCCGTGATGTAGGGTGAGGCGTGACATTTTCAGGGTCGACCTTTTCTAACCCTTCCTTCCTTGTGAGAAGGCAGCATCGCTGCAGATGCTGGTTGTCCGAGGGAAATACCTTACTGCTGTCCCACCCCTCTTCAGTCAGCAGTACGACTCCGCCCTCAGACCTTGGGTAGCTGCATTTAGTCTCATCGTTCTCCAAACGACCTGCCTGGCATGGTAGAACCTTCAGGAACATAAGTTCCAACCAATATAGCTCGGTTGGGCCATCATGATAGGCAAGCCCGACCACCACGTCAAGGTAGCAGCTACGGTCGGGTTCGATGAAGTCACTGACAAAATTCAGAGTATTCTGACTACCCTAAGTAACAATCCAAGCATGTTCGGGATGCGGTTCTCACCCTTGAAATGCTGAATGTTGATTCAAGATTGGCTTGCGTCGGCAATTAAACTAGTGACAGGGAGTGACCACTTCACTTACCTCAGGAGTCTCATCAGTGCTGACGGCCTGGTGACTGACGAAACCTCAGCACGGATAAAGAAAGCCCGATTGGCTTTTGCCAAATTGCGTCATCTATGGAGCAGGCGATTTGCCATTTTACGTACCATTGAGTGGTGGAATTGTCAAGTTTAATACATAGTAGTGGAGGTTCTCAAAGTATTAGCGGTCGCTTCTCTATTTGAACAGCGTGAAATCAAATTAGTGATTATACTGGGATCCTATAATCCTATATGCGCGTTTCTGAGACGCAGCATACATCGGTGGCACGAGTCTCTTGGGTCCTAGCTTAGGAAGCCTGTTGTCTTATTCGGCACAAGGTTCGAACAATTGGAGCTCCAACATGTAGTTTGGAGCATGGTTTCTGGAGACCAGGAATTATGTTTTGTGAGTTCAAAACGTTTCCATTGGCGGCGCGAGGTGGCAAAGGAATGAAGGAAGAGTTATTTGGTCGTGGTGAAACGAGAGTTATCAAGAGTTGTAGAAAGGATTGATTGGGATTGATTTGGTCTCGTCTGTGTTTACGGATATGATTGCGGATGTCACTTCCCGGCTGCCTACACCGTGGAACGGTGTTCTTTGAAAAACCTGGAAAGTAAGTTAGATTAGCTTTGGTTTCAGAGACCTAGGAGCGTGATCGTAAGCCTAAGGAACTACTGCTCTAGGCCGGTCACGCATTGCCTTTTTGTGTGATGTTTCGAAAGTGTTAGCTCCGCTTTTCATATGGCCTTACCAATCGGAGACGAAAATCCGTAGGGTAATGTTGAATAGGAATGAAGAATGTGTACAGCCCTAGCGAACACCACTTGAAGTAATCGATTCGCTGTAAGCTCAAACTCGCCTAGTAGTAATGTTCCAGTAGAATACCAATACAAGGTTAATGTACTTCTTTGGTTCTGACTAAAAATCTTGTTTTTACTGTTTAACTCGTCAAGGGACAGTTACCGCTAACTGACTTACGACCAACGACTTCCAATCGGCCAGTTGGTCGACCCTATCCGTAGGCCTCCGAGTTGCGCATTTGAATATTTGAGAATCCGTCATTTACCATACCGATTTTAGCAGAGAATTTTTATCTAATACTACGTAATCATCTGTCAATGAGGGTCTAATATATTAGTGCTGCCTCACCTGTAGCGTTCAGTTGGACATCGACGTCAGGAAGACTAGACAAAAACGCCACAGTCCACGAACAAACGCATGTGAAACAAGCTTTTTAAAGCGAGAGTTAGGTGGCGAGTTTTCAGCAGAACACTAGAGTCTGAAATATTTATCTCTTTTAGACAACAAACATTGGTGTCCAAACTTTTTAATGACTTAGACGACCCTACCTGTTTTCCAATGTGCATTAGTGTTCGGATGCTGATGGAGGCTAGTTCGAATAACATGTGAGGTCTCAGAAATGCCGATTGATATTTTGTGGTGGCACTCAACGTTGAACCAGATTGTGACTTAGATCGTTTAGACAGGATAGAATTTCCACAATAGGTTAGCTGCTGTATGAAATGAAGAATGATGAATGCACATTATGGGTATAAATGGATGGATAAGTGACGCAATAAAAAATGAATGATTACGAATAGTTGCGAGTACAGTTTGCGAAAATGAGGAATAAATCGAGAACGGTTTTTCTGGTTATGGAAATTTAGTGTGTATGCGAGCTGGGATATTGCCAGAACTGCTAGACTATAGCGGGGCACTAATCACTGAGCATTTGATATAGAGATCTAGTCCGTAAGGCAATGGAGCAACATCAGGAGACTCAGTCCCATAGTAGCCGGTGAGCAGCAGTAAGTTTATACGTCATTTTTTCCATCAGGATCTTGAAGTCCATGGGAAGCCGGACATTCACTTTCCGTTCTTTCAATATTGTAGACAACACCCTTGCCATTAGAAGGCAATGAATTGACTTCCCTAGCAGTGGCTTTACGCGCACGGCCATATGACGGCATTTCGAGAAGGAGAGCAGATTCAACCTTACTAAGGCAATATTTATGAATACTGATTAGTCAATTCGAAGCTAGTTGTTTCCGGGAATTTCCGTTGGATAGTCTTTTTATGGCTAATGGAAGAGACTTACTTTTGGTGACTTCAAGTACCATAATGTTAGTTTCATGCTCATTATTTCTGAGTTGAAAAACTTGTTTTGATGTCCCTTGTCTCCTTATTTACTAAATCCTGTCATTTGTACGAATAAAATTAGATCAACAAACCCGAAAATTCAAATATATCATCCGATCGTTCGTGTACTTATCTTTCCGGAACACTTTGCGAGATGACTAATCGTGTAAGCCACATTCCCAAGCTGAAGTTGGTGGAGATGTGTTCGAACACAAAATACTAAATATATTATCCCTGCTTCCAAGTGACTACATGGCTATTATCACTGATCATCTCACACAAAGACTTGAAGCCAAATAAAAAGACTTGTATCTAATAAATGAGGTAACATACTTATGTTAATGCTGTATCATGCCATACGAGTGATACCAAAAGTTATCCCTATTTGATTTAAATATGACGAATATAAATTATATAGTTACCAGCAATCATACCTGTAAATAAAGAGCCTTAGTTATTGGTAACAACCCTTTTGGTGCAATTTCTTATAAATATGCGGTCTTTTTTTCGTGAAGCCGTCCAATAATGAGTCTTGAGATCTTATTATCTGTTACATGGTTGACTTCTACTTTGAGTAAGTTTATAAACTGTATAAACTAGATTGTACGCATAGTTTGCTGTATCTTATTATTGTTTCTCTTTAGTTAGCGTTCTCATGTTTTTCCAATATTTCACTACTTACAGTTCAATACAGTTCCTGAAACGCCAGTTGCATATTTCATGTCTCCAAGACCCTGGAAAGTATGTTAATGTTGATCTTTTTTTAATCTGTTTTCATTATATTATTTAACATCAATATGAATACATACCTAACGCTTTTGATATAAAGCAATTTGTGTAAGATTATTTCTCTGCTTCAATCTCTGCATACATAGCTAAAATTGCTAACTTGGTAAGTTCATTGTTTGCAGATACTAATGGAATTTAATCTCTGATATTCACTAAAACTGACGGATTCTCAATATGAAAAAGTTAAGATCATAACTTTTGGTTCGTTTACTCGCATTTTTACGACGATAAAATGATGTCTTCAACCAGCACACCCACATATCTACGAAGCTCTTCATATCTGGTGTGCGATTTTATCATAGACGCCCTGAATATTTATGCGTTTGCTTAGATAAGTAATAAAGCATTGTGTCTAAATGTTACTAAAATTGATCCACTAGCACGGCAGTCCGGAATTCTACCTTATATTGAACAGGTGCGAATTCAGTTCATCTATTAAGTTTTTTTTTTCAGAATATTCGAAAAACTCCTGATTAATATGAAGTAGATAAATGTGGTTTGAGGAGATAAATAAGCTCTAACTAAGCATCGAAAACCGTTATAAATATCAACACTTGTTCCTAAGTTCAAGTACAGGTTTCATTGATAGGAGAAATTGCTTTCGGAAATTCATCACAAGTATCTTCCTCCAGAATATTTGATCTGCCATCCCTACTTAGTACTCGTTTTCTAATGAGAGCATTGCTCACTCAGTTGTCCCAGAATATACGAGCAATGCTTCGGAGACACCTATGATCGAAAACAAGCAACCTACGAATGTCCTCTACTCTTACCGGCCATGTTTCGCATCCGTATATTAGGACGGGGCGGACTGCTGCACGTTACATTCTTCCTTTGGTTAGCAAACGGAAATCTCGCCTGCTCCATAGATGACGCAACTTGGCAAAAGCCAATCGAGCTTTCTTTATCCGTGCTGAGGTTTCGTCAGTCACCAGGCCGTCAGCACTGATGAGACTCCTGAGGTAAGTGAAGTGGTCACTCCCTGTCACTAGTTTAATTGCCGACACAAGCCAATCTTGAATCAACATTTAGCATTTCAAGGGTGAGAACCACATCCCGAACATGCTTGGATTGTTACTTAGGGTAGTCAGAATACTCTGAATTTTGTCAGTGACTTCATCGAACCCGACCGTAGCTGCTACCTTGACGTGGTGGTCGGGCTTGCCTATCGTGATGGCCCAACCGAGCTATATTGGTTGGAACTTATGTTCCTGAAGGTTCTACCATGCCAGGCAGGTCGTTTGGAGAACGATGAGACTAAATGCAGCTACCCAAGGTCTGAGGGCGGAGTCGTACTGCTGACTGAAGAGGGGTGGGACAGCAGTAAGGTATTTCCCTCGGACAACCAGCATCTGCAGCGATGCTGCCTTCTCACAAGGAAGGAAGGGTTAGAAAAGGTCGACCCTGAAAATGTCACGCCTCACCCTACATCACGGATTTCCGTCTCCGGTGTTAAGGGTGCCCACTAAGGGCCTTTAAGAGCGGAGCTAATACTCAAAAACCCTTCATAAAAAGGCCGTGCGTGACCGGTCTCAAGCAGTTGTCCCTTGGACTCTGCGGTCACGCTCCCAGGTCGTTAAGACCAACACTAATCTATCTTCGTTTTCAGGTCCCTCAAGAAACAACCTTGCACGGTGTGGGCAGCCGGGAAGTGACAACCGCACTCATACCCGTAACAGCACACGAAACCAAATTGACCGAAATCAAATCCTTCCTACACCCACACATACCCCTCTTATCTCCACGACTAACTCTACTCACATTACTTTATCACAGTGCGCAGCTAATACAAACGACGCGAGTTCACCGAACGTCACTTCTGGTCTCCTGAAACCCCGTTCTAGACTACATGTTGGAGCTTTTAATGTACGGATATTGAGTCAAATAGGTTCACAGGCTTCATTGGCTAGTACTTTAGAATCTCGCACAATCGAAGTTTGCTGTGTCTCGGAAACGCGCATACAGGATCCTAGTAAAATTATTAATCTGATTTCACCTTGTCAAAATAAAGAAGCAGCTAGATTTACTCTTCGTGTATCCAGTAGCCCTGATGCTGCTTCCAGGGGTCTTGCTGGCGTAGGCATAGCATCGAGTCGTAGAGCTGAACAATCTTTCCTTGACTGGATCCCAAGTAGATAGTCGCTTGTGCGCCGACCGACTAAACGGGACAGTAAGGACTCGGAAGGATAGGGACACTCGCCGCTGCCTCTTCGTCATATCTGCCTATGCCCCCACAGACTGCAGTTTAGAAGAGGTGAAAGATGAGTTTTACAGAAAGCTTTCGGACGCACTCCAAAATGCTAGGCGCTCCGATGTAGTATTAATGGCTGGTGCCTTTAATGCTCAAGTAGGTAAACTCAGTGTAGGGGGAAGACATCTTGGTGGATGTAATGGTATCGCAGCTCAGAGAACAGACAATGGAGACCGACTGTTGCAAGTATGCTCAGATAACCAACTATTTCTAGCAAACACTAACTTTAGGCATAAGGAAAAGCATCTCTTGACCTGGCAACCTCCAAAGTCGTCTCAACGATGGACTCAACTAGATCACATCGCCATCAGCCACCGATGGAGGGGTTCAATAGAGGACTGTCGCTCGTTCTGGGTCACATGTTTAGATTCAGATCATGCCCTAGTGCGAGCGCGCATCTGTTTGAGGCTTACTGGACGTAGGAAAGACACCATAAGGAAGCCTCTTAGGGTTTTACTTAATCACAATGAAGCTACAGATATATTTCAGGAGCAATTAGAAAGAGAATGAAGCAACCATGTAAGCGATTCCCATCCGGGAGCACGTTGGTATGATATCAAAAAGGCTGTGGAAACAGCAGTGATATCTGCTAGTAAGGTAAACCATAAAGCTAAAGTAAAGCCGTGGATCTCAACAGCATCTACCGGACTGATGGGTGCTCGAAAACTTATCCCGCCTGGCTCTGAGTGAGATGAGGATCGGAGTCAGCGTAGACGTAGGCTGACAAAAAGCCTACGCAATGATCGAGAACAGTGGTGGGTGGAGAAAGCGAGAGAGATGGAAAAGGCAGCGGCGATAGGCAACAGTAGGCAACTATTTAGACTTATCAAGGAAACTGGTATTAGGAATCCTAGTGTAAGTGAGACTATCTCAGAAAATGACGGGACTATTATTTATTCTCAATCCAGGAGACTGGACCGATGGGCAGAACACTTCGAGGATCAGTTCAACTGGTCTCGAGCCATTATTCGGTTACCCACGATCTCCAGTCATCCTAAATGACAAATCGACGTGTCCAGAGCCTCTGACGTCACGAGAATCTACTAGTTCCTTCTAACCTTTTGGTTTAGCTTACTGTAAATACTACTGATGTTTGTATATCTATATGGATATCATTCTAAGGTACCTTACGGTAGACTTCACTTTCATGGTTGACTAATTGTTCTTGAAGTAAATTCTTTACTCTCTCATCATTAAGCTGTGCTCCGAGGGTGTTCTTGCTGTGAATTGTGGCTAATAGTGGAATTTAACACGCGTGAATAGTAATTCAGATAGCTTTTTCGTAGTCAACATGGTTTAACAATGTTTTTGCTTGGTGAAAGTTATGTATCGCCCACCGCATGATTCGTACCGATATAAGTACTTGTGGGAGGTCATATCACTCTTCGGAGAGATACTCGAATCCAGGGAATAGGACACATGCCCCAGTGGATTCAGTGTTGAGATGTCGGTGCTCAAGTGTCATCGCTAGACCTTATATAAAGTGTAGCCTCACTGATAACGTGTAATAATTTTCTTTACAAGCTCGCCACGATCATGGCAACGAGAACTAATCCTCAAGGACTGTACATAGCCATATAGGCTACTTGAAAATATAATTTATTGTTAAATTAAAACCGGATATTCTTGTATTTTTGAAGCAGATATTTTTTATAAATATTTGCTGTTTGTGTCATTTGTTCAATTTAACTAGTGAAGATATGTCGTGTGGGACCACAAGTTTATTTAACATGTTTGTCTGGTCCGTTCTTTCTGGTAATCCAAATAGTTTTTAGAATGTGGTGTAAATACACTGCCTTTTTCCTAATTTTAATTTTTTTCCACTCAAATTTGTCCCTGTATTGTTTCCAGAAACCATTACATCACCAACCAGTTATTTTTTCAAAAATTATTTTAGTGCTACTGTCAGCCATATTTAGAATTAGCAACAGCATTCCGGTCTAACAATCCTGAGGACCTAAATCACTTTGTTGATCTTCATCGAGAATTATTTACAGCTGTAAGTTTAATTATCAATGAAGAATCATAAAAATTATATTTTTTGTTCATTCAAGTTAGTTTCATGAGCTGTCTCAGTGTAATTAGGTTTCCGTGTGCGATTTGCACTTCGAACTTAGTATTTTAGGGATACTTATCTGATGAACTTACATATTCCTAGTTTGTTCTTTTAAATTATTTCCTCATTGATAAGTTGTAATCTTTTTGATCATATTGTAAATCAGTAATGGAGTTATCTGATTAATTGAGCTAGTTAACCGAAACACGAACGGAAGACAACTCGTCCATATATTAGTTATTTGTATTGTTTCTGCATAACAATTATTGCATCAATTATTATTGCGTGCGTTACACTGACTGAAATACATTGCGTTCTGTTGTGTACATGGTTTTATTTTTTACTTGAGTACTGGGCAATTCGCAGTTAATAAAATACATGTGTGACGAATCCGTCAGTCAGCTACTAGGTATATTAGTGTTAGTTTCAGAGAGCTAAGAGCGTAACCACAGAGCCCAAGGAACAACTGTTCTAAGCCGGTCACACACGGCCTTTTCATGGGAAGTTTTTAACGTGTTAGCTCCGCTCTTGTTTAAAATGTCTTACGCCGGAGACAAATCCATGAGGTAAGGTGAGGCGTGACAATTTTAGGGTCGACCTTTTCTCATCCCTTTCTGCCCTGTGAGAAGGCAGTATTTTTGCGGATGCTGGTTGTCCGAGGGAAACACCTTACTGCTGTCACACCCCTCTGCAATCAGCAGTACGACTTCGCCCTCAGACCTTGAGTAGCTGCTTTTAGTCTTATCGTTCTCCAATCGACCTGCCTAGCATGGTAGAACCTTCAGGAACATATGTTCAGGCCAATATAGCTCGGTTGGGTCATGACGATAGGCAAGCCCGACCACCACGTCAAGGTAGCAGCTATGGTCGAGATTGGACAAATCTGGAAACGATTCTGGTAGCTGAGAAAGCTAATCACATCTCCCCTTGCATTTATTCGAGCTTATAATTGTGTCATGAAATTTTTCTATGATTTACTTACTATTGCTGTTTTTGAGTTTTTTTTTAATGAGAAAATCTGGAATGTAATGCTAAATTTGTATGTCTTTATTATTTACAACAACCTTATTTTCGTTTTACAATAGGATTTCAACTTCGGACTTGTTAAACAAGTAGTAAGGTGTTATGGAAAATTTCGTATTCAGAGTCTGACAAAAGTAAGTTAAATTTGTGCACACATTCATTTACATTACCCGGGAAATATATTTGATACGTTTTACACATGCAGGTGATGATCACTTCTGTCGTTCGACGTTTTCTTCATAAATTTTCGGGCAATATAAATACTTAATACATAATAATCACACTTGAAGATCAGAAAATCACAAGGATGCTTTGAGCAGATAACTAACTCCGTAATTTAACAAAGAAACTTCCTTGCTACTTTAGCTTACTTGGAAATGGTTTGGATTATCCCTCTGTTGATATTTCGACTGGAATTTTTTGTTCTTTGTCAGTATTGGGCTTCCTATGGGAATCACCCCGATATAGCCATTATGACACAAGTTTATATAGAATAAATAGAATGTGGCTAGCAGCTTCGTTCTATTTGGGACTCCTCAGCTTGGTTTACCTGCATCTCAGCATCGATGTTCACTCCCATACTCTAAGATACAGATATATTCAGCCGAAGACTCCCAAATAAGGAGAAGCGTGCGTCCTAGATTTCGTTGCTAGCCACAATCTATCTGTTCTATATAAACTTCCTCACTGCTGTTTAGCACACTATCATTTTTTTGACAGCTTTTGGTGAAACATTTTTGCTTGCCTTTTGAATGTACAAAATTATCTACTTCATATAAAGGCGATCACTAATCGGTTAGTTTAATATGTAACTTTTAGAAGCAACTTCAAGCCTAATTATACTCAGCAATCTTACAAGTCCTTCTTTTCAATCATTGATTAACGTTGCTATACCAGAATACAGGTCTACTATAATTATACTATGTTGTTTGCATGTTTTGTGTATTGATTCTAGTTCTTTTTGAAAACATTCACTTAACTGGAAGTTCTTAGTATCATTACCTAAGTTAGGCTAACTGATTTCAAGTACATTGGGGATTTGGTGGAAGTTAATAATAAAACGGTGTTATATTTATGATATCCTAGTTATCAGGATTTCTGACTTCTCATTAATTAGAGACCAAATTTTCCTTAGGTGAGTAATAATAAATTAAATATCATGGATTGACACTGTAGTTCTCTATACCATCAGGGCACAATAGAAGAATCCCAACAAATCCATAAACCACATAACAATAAATCCATGTTAGTTCGACACAGAATTGTCTACAAATTGGTATGTGTTGATTGTTGTGTTTTCTAAATTTGTTTTTTTTGTGCCACAGAACATCTAAGTTGCACAGACAGATCTTTAAATATTTCTGATGAAGTTGCTCACACAGTCATGGAACGTCCAAAATTCAATTCTCTAATCATTGGGATCTTACAAATTGATCATTATTTCTATTAAGAACTTGTTTTTCTCCCCACTCCTATTCTTTTGTTCTGTTACCACTTTTTCGAGCTAATAAATAACTGGAATTAGTCTTCTGATGCATATTTGACTTTTTGGTTAAATATATCAATTACTTCAATGGTGGGATCATTCGAACAAAATTAGTTGCAGTCATTTTCGAATCACCTCCACTTTCATACCAATCAACAGCGTTATAGACCTGGCAAACAAAGTTATACTTATATAAAGTTACAGTGATTATATTTTCATAACAAAATGTGTTACTTATCCAATGTCACGTTCCACATGTACTGGTTCACTGTAAACATTCTCAATGTTGTTATAATCGAATATCAATGTACGAGATATTCAGGTTATTCTCTTCGCGAGTTCATATTTTTAGTTTTATTACTATTAGTCCTCTTACTGCAGTGGTAGGATGTAAGTCAAAATGCAATTGAATGAGAACCTAAGTTGATTCTGTCCTTTGTCGCATTCAGATGAAGTGTCATCATCTGAGTCAGTCGTCTACAATGTAGGACTTCCTACATCAGTTCAAGTCATCTACATCGTAGGTATCTTTTTTGTACCTCTTGTAACGTACATAAGAATTGTTCAAGTTTTACCACTCAGTACTAATTAAAGTAATTCATCCTGTTAAATGAACAGGATTTTTGAAGTTGCGATTATGTTCCTACTTCAGGCTATTTTACTGATGTGCATAATAGTAAGCTCTTCAATTGTTTTCACTATTTTTAAACAAGAATCAGTGAGCCAGGTTTTGGGGGATGTAGAACTGACATCATCCATAATTATACAGTTCGCATGTTATTTTGACTTTAAAGCATAATGTTGTTTTACCTGGGGTTCTACTTCCCATAACTCGTTTTTACTCCGAGATAATCGCAACCATCCTGTTCTACTTATTTTTTTTGTAGACTTTTATGACACTATCCTTGATCGATGTCGCCATGCGTATAAAACTATCCGGTACTCAGGAAGCGGAGAAACATATTTTAGATATGGTGAGTACAATTTCTGAATAACCCTACTAGTATCTAGATATACAATTTTGGAAATTTAACTGCTACATGCTTTTCAGAACTGAGTTCATGTAGACCAGTGCAAGCTTGAAATGCATTTATCTAGAAGGTGTTCGCGAAAAAAGTTTTCCCTATTCATAAATAGTCAGCGCAGCTCGCATAGTGATTATTGGAATTAAAATGTCATATCTTACTTGCACCGCATCTCCATGACAGCATTCCAAGCTGCAAATGTTTTAGTGCCCCGAACAATATTTAAAAAATTACCCCATGAAAGCGCGGTTTTTCTCTGTAGATAATTTGTCTCCAAGGGACAATATATGGATACATTTACGACTGTTTTTTATCGAGGGAGTAATCCTAACATTATGATTTGTTGTCACGTGCTGAACACCACTCAACATACAGGTTCTGAACTGAGTAACAGAGCACATTGTAAAAAGCCTGGTTTACTCAATTATGCCTACATTTCCGGAAAGTGGACTGACGAGAGGTCTATCTTAAATATCTCCTGTATTCCGTGTAGTCGAATTTTGTATGTGACAAAAGTTGTAGTAGCGACGGTACTCATAATGTTTAGCAAGTTTACCGTCCTCGATAAATAAAATACAAACAGTGCTTCTTAACTAAAATATTTGGAGATGTAAGTATAGGTCTCATAGAAATCTAGGTATGAGTTTATGTTAATATTGAAAAACAATCAGTTTTTACGTTTAGACAAAAATGCTTGTGTTTGAAAATATTTAAAAGATATCGTCAATATTTACACGTTTTAAAACACCGACAAACCTCTTTTTCTTGATGCACTAAATGTTAGATTAGGTCAAAAGCAATTTTTGCAAACATTGATCAGCAAAGTGGGACTGTTCATTTCCTCGATGATCCTGAACAATATGACTCGATTAATATGCTTCGAATTCTTCAGGAAAAAGTAAGTCTCTGTATAATTCAACGAGTTGTCACTTATTATGGTCGATTTTCAGCAGAAAACTACACTTCAGCCGCATTTAGTCACAGGCACTAGTGCCACCGGTTTTTCATACAGCTATGCGTTAAAACGAATCTCCCGTCCATTGGACTTTGAAGTAGGACATGAGTGGAGCATGCCTTCAATAGATAACTTAAGCTTTCTACGCTGTATGCAGCGTATAACTTCAAAATCGCTTTATAGCCGTAGGGCGAACATTTGACAGGCCAAAATGTTTCCTACGCTAATGGCTAACTATTTTGCAACAATCAAGCAAAAAAATATCGAGTGACCCATCATAAACATGCGTGCTATTCTGCTCAGTGTATTTAAGAGGCACCAACAAGAATTGCATTAAGAAAATGATCCGTTTACGTAAAAGTTCTATGTACGCCTTACCTTCACCCAGTGTTCAGTCTTCAGGTCGATAGACCACTACAATAATGGAGTGGTTAATATATCTACATTTCAAGGCTTAGAGAGGGAGTAAAGATTTGGTCACCCGTTCTGAGCGCAAATCATAATATCTTTTATATGAATTTTTAATATGTGTTTATTTGGTGAACATGAAAATGATACTAGTGTTTCTACTACTATTTTCATTACTTTTACTTTCTCGGTCGCCATCGAGTGTATTTTTAAGTTTCCTCTACCAGTATCTTTTTCAAAACCCACCCATAAATTTGGAGAGCCCATTAGTGTAGGAGGGACTTTAGAAATCCACTAACCTGTTCGGTAAGCGAATAACGTTGTAAGGAATCTACTCCACACATTTTACAACACAAGATAAGGATATAGACAAATATAATCATAATGACACTAACAAAATAGGTATTTTTATTTCTATCTACTCTTCAGATTCTATTCATACTGAATTAAACAGACTTTGTTTTAGCATTGGGAGTAGACACCGAAGTATTCTCTAAATGTGTAGTCTATGCGTTCTCACTGTTGGTGTAACTGTGAATTGTATCCTTTTTCGGAAACAAGCAAATTGTATTTAAATAATTTTCAGTATTTTTGTTCAAACCGAGTATTTTACGAGTGAATTTCTTTCGATCTGCTAGAGTTTTGTAAACATTATCATATTTATACTATGCTACCTGCCTTTTAGATAACAGAATGTGTGGATTTGGAGAAGCATTTTATGCAGTTAACCGATCTACTAGTGACAAATCCAAATTATGCTAAACGAGTAAGTACGTGTTGAATTTTACTGCTTCTCGCTTATAATAGAAACGGTTCTACGTATTATTTTTTAACTGCCTATTCACGATTTAGTTGTAAACTTTCATATCTATCTGCCACAAATAGGCTTAAATACTAGTTCTATTTTGAATCCATATAACTAACTATATGGTAAACTAATAGTAACTATCGGTTGTGCTTGTACCTTGACTAATAATTCTGATAAGTTTAGATGGTGACACATTTGAATAACTATACATCTTCCGAATATGTTCACAAAGCACCATTCTTTAGTTCAAGAAGATGACAACAACAACAATTCATTCTTAGCACACCCATTCTTGAACACACTTACAGCTTGTTTCAGAATCAAGAGTACCATATGCTGGTACTTTGCTACGATGGAATAGAGCCGCAAAACTTTTGCTTGAAAAAATTTGTTTTTCTTTTCGCAAAAGCATTAAATAGACGTAAACCCCTTCCGTAAATTTCTGTAACTTTCGGTTTACGAACTCCGGGTTTTTAGGTACTCAACTTTCATGGTTTGAACCTCAAAACTCATTTATAGGTAATACGCATCCACATTTATAGACAACTTTCGTAAAGTCAATATTATTATCGCACCACAATTTTTCGGTTGACATCAAAGCTGTTCCGGAGTTCAGTATTAGTCCAAAAAACTATCCATGCATATGAAGAAAAGAACATATATATAAATGATTTTACACCTGTGCCTTCTTTTTTAGATGATCGAGCTGGAAAGCAAAGTAGCGAAATCAGCAGGCCAGTATTGAATGCGGACCGAAACAAAAAATGATATTTAGCGTGCCTTCCTGAAAGGGGAAATAAAATTTAAAAAGTCACTAAGATTTGAATTTATGTTTTTGTAGGGACATAAGAATCAATATCTTTATAGGTTGTTACACAACTAAATGTGTTTTCTTAATGTGAGAGATATCGTGAACTTTGCAAATAAATACTATATAAGTTGTAATTTTTTTAACTCCTGATTACACTTAATGCTTATATTCAGCAGTCCAAATCGATTTACAGGTGGGCAAAAATCTTGTACCTGTAACTTTGGGAGTAACGTAGTTGCTTGCTCAGTCTGGTAACTGTTTCGTTGCTGCTTCCGAAACGCGTATAACAAATTCAAACGATGCTAGATAGCAACGATTTAAAAATCACTATTGCGGAAAGTGGCAATCAGTATTGATATGTAGTTCCTTATATCGTTTTTGTTTAGTATTTTTTGATACTACTTATTGTAAATTGACATTAGTTCAGTCATCCGCTGCATCAGTTAACTCAAGAAGCATTTGTATGCTACGAAATGCACCATTTTAGAATATCGAATAGTAGAAAGGTGATAAAACTTGACAAGTAATACCAGTAGCATGAAATAAAAAATGGACCGCTTATTTATGTATAATAATTACCAAATAGGCTTCTTGCGTGCTTTTCTCTGGCCGGGTTGTTTACGTTCTGCGAACCGGTTGTCCTGAGACAATAAACCAGTTACTAATAATCTGTTTTTTCCTTGATCGGTAGGGAGCATTGAAGCTAAACATCTGGCTATTGCCAAACGAAGCGCATTCGCTAAGGAGCTCGAACCTTCTCCGCTTACTGTGGCGACAATGTCTACTTTACCAATAGTATCTGAAAAAAATAAAGTTGCATAAAAAACATCCATCCTAGTAAGCATTTCTAAATAGTGCAAACACTTACTGCTTGAGAGTGCATAAAACCTAAATACAATTAGAAAGCGATTTACTGCAAACATTTCGTTAACCTTGTGATGCGATACGTATACTGAACGTGGTTACCCCATTTGCTCTCTCTCAACAGCTATTCGTTTCTGTACTAAATCTAGAATACTGGAGTATGTTCCAGAAAACTGATGCCTACGCTGTTCCACCGCCAAGCAGATACTGCCTGGATTCTATTTACTTGTTATTAGAGCAAGATCATTGCTGGCTTATAAGCTTAAATGTAATATATATGCTCCCATTTCTCCTAATAAGTAATTAGGAGTTACAAATGTCACACAATATGACTAGGGTTATTTACTTTAGGGTCAGCCTTCGTATCTATCAACACTCAGGTTTGATTAAAGAGATGACGATGATAATTGCGAAATATGATGAGTTTTTGGATTGTCTTCATCTATATCCATGCTAATAATCAAATTATTCTCAATTAATAACATAAAATGTAATTGGAAATAACTTGTCGCTAACTAATAATTAATTTATACTGGAAAAAACGTTGTAAACAAATTATGTTTATGCAGTTCCTTATCCTCGCACAGTAGTTCTTAGAAGTGAAACTATCAGTTGGGGTGGTTGGGACATGTTATGAAAGGGCTAACTACGCGTCGAAATCCGTTGTAAATATCAACACTTGTTCCTAAGTTCAAGTACAGGTTTCAGCGATATGGGAAATTGCTTTAGGAAATTCATCACAAGTATTGTTCCTCTAAAATATTTGTATCAACAGAGTTACAAGACAACATCGATATAGACCACTGAAGGGCATCTTCTCTACACCTGATCGGTCGATAACACATAAGAACAATATTGGATTCTCTCCTGGGTTATTCTGAAAACAACACTTCATTTATTTCGTTGCCCAGTGGAACTGTACTACCTTGGGATCAACAAACCTCCTAACACAAAGTCTATGTTTTGTATAGTATGACAGCAAATCGTTAGTTTAAATGTAATTAATATGTAAATCATCAGGTGGGATTCCGAGGTCGTTTGTTTGTTAAAATTGTTCACTGGTTAATCACAACTTTCAGGAAAGTGAATCGTAAAATGAGTTCATGACACAAACCTGAATAGGTCAGTAACATACAAAATATTAGATACATCTTTGAAAATTGTTCCAGGATACACGAGCGATGCTTCGAAGACTTCTATATTCGGATAATAATAACCCTCGAATATCCTCAACTGTTGCCGGCCATGTTGGACGTTTCGTGAACTCGAGGGGTGCTAAAGAACTGTGACATGGGTTAGTGGAGATAAGAGAGGTGTTAGGCAATGTATGAAGGATTTAATTATGACCAGTTAGATGTCGTACGCTGTCGCGGGTATGAAGGCGGATGTAACTTCCCGAGTGCCCACACGGTGAAAGGGTGTTTCTTGAGGGACCTCAAGAAAAAGATATAATATTGTTGGTTTCAGAGAACTGGGAGCATAACCACAAAGCCCAAGGAACAACTGTTCTTGGCCGGTCACATACAGCCTTTTTATGGGAAGATTTTAACGTGTTAGCCCCGCACTTGTTTAAAAGGTCTTACCGCTGGAGACGGAAATTCGTGAGGTATGGCGAGGCGTGACAATTTTAGGGTCAACCTTTTCTATCCTATTCATTCCTTGTGAGAAGGCAGCATCGCGGCAGATGCTGGTTGTCCGAGGGAAACACCTTACTGCCGTCACACCCCTCTACAGTCAGCAGTACGACTTCACCCTGAGATCTTAGTTCCGGCCTTTAGTCTCAACATTCTTCAGTCGACTTGTCTGGCATGGTATAACCTACGTATGTTCCAGCCAATATAGCCCGGTTGGGTCATCACGATAGGCAAGTGTGACCACCATATCAAGATGGTAACTGCGATTGTAACCGGACAGAGGAACAATTCTAAATGTGATACCATTATAGCTAATAACAAGAAATAGGTTAGTTCCCTGAAGATGTCAAAGCATAGGTCCATCACTAGTTGGAAGTCAAAGACTTCGGAATTTTTACGTTGGATCTTCCGTTTACGCACTGTACATTTGCTTTTCATCCTTTGAATTACGAAGACAACGCGTCGCTGCAAGGAGCAGATTCGTAGAACTTTTTGGACAGTGGCCATATTATGTGCGGCTATATGAGGGATAGAGGACTTTTTCCCCTTTCGTTTGTACAAGGGTATTTGGATATGCTTCTGACTTGACACACCTTTGTGACCGTTTCAACCCAATAACTGCAAAACTCAACCTAGGTTCCACCGTCATAGTTGCAGTATATTACGGAACGAACAAATATAAAAATAGTAAAAATCGGTAAACTATGAATCGAAAACAATTTACAAGTATTCTGAAAGCGAAATGACTGAAAATAATTAAAGGCAAAATTTTATTACATTCACCACTGGAACATCAAAAACGTAATCCAAAGTGAAATATTAGAAAACTTACTTGTTTGTTGTAAAGGAAATACTACTTGTTCTCGATTCCCAAGCTCAGGAAATATTTCTAAAAACCGTTTCCCGTTCACTGTGAAGTCACCAGCGCCAGGCATGTACAGTGTTACTTCAGCAAAGGAGTTTTTTTTTTGACCAAATGCTTGGACACATTTTCTGTTTGTTAATGAGTCTAGAGACGGCTAGAAAGTCATTTTGTCAGACAAAGTGAACCAACCTCAGGAAGTTTAATTTCCGAAGTAGCATCACATATTTGAGTTTTGAACCGCTGAATAAATTCTTCGACCATATATGACAATGGGTGTTCTGACAAACGCTTCATTAAAACTAGCCATTGACTATACTGTCACAATTATAATATAATGTTTATTTAAGCAAGAACTTGATACCTGTGCATTTGAAATATTTTCGTTGATCATTTTCATAAGATTTACTTTTGAGATAAAATCGCTTGGCGTCACACAGCTCAAAGTCAAAATAGATAAGTAGTAGATCAGCAAAAAATAATCCAGGTCGAGTGTTTTAAGAGTAAAGTGCAAACAAATTATAGGGGTACATTCGTAGAGGGAAGACAGTTGGATGTATCACGAGGTCATAGTTGCAAGTCTCGTTTTAACTTTATAGTAAATGAGCTTGTGACTCAATATCCCCCACCAATTTGAAGTCAGTAGGTCCAACCGAGATAGAGTAACCAATTTTGAGCTATATCACCTAACTCCTCTAAACATATCAGTTTCCTTATTAGAAATTTCAAAACTAACTCAACTTACGCATCACATTTCGGTACTTATTGATCAATTTAGTGAGAAACGTACATGGCTAAGACTACAAACGCGCAACCATCATAAGTTGACATGAGATTTTTAAAAAAGTGGTTGTGATGTGCGATTACAGGCATCTAAGCAAAAACTCTGAGTACCGTAAATATGTGTAGAGTAAGCTCAAGTGGGAAGGCTGTCTGTTTGATCATTACGTGAAATCTGAATCAAGGTTATTGCGTTTGGAAGTAAACAGTGTGTAAAAATCTCTTTGTGAGCCTGACTTAGCTAATGCTTGGGAACCATGAATTAAATGATAAAGATATCTTTGGTGCGGGCTTTAGTAATGCTTTTTATGAAAATGCCTGTTGTTAGCAAACACAATTCACGAAATATTATTTATGGATGCCACGGATTAGTTTCTTTTTGACTGCCTAGCAAGCATGCTAGACTTTCGTTTTTATTTTATACTCATCTTTAATGTGTAAAATCTAACAGGACCACACATAAACACTCTCAAATCCTAATCTTCTGGATTCTTCAACAACTCTAGTTTTGACTTTCTAAACTTTTCTCATTAAATCATACTTCTTGAATAACATCTTCTAATCCTAAGCTCTCCGATTACTCCTAATACCTTTACTACCTCTTCTACTATTGGGTTTGAATTGACAATTATATCTCTGTGCTGATGTGGTATGGTGACATGAACTGATGTACTTACGTACGAAGTTCTACGTTGCATCTGACTGACTGACTAAACAATAGACCCAACCAACAGGCTTGTCATATATTTAAGCAACAGCAAAGACAGTATTAAATACAAGCAGTAAATGGTTCTGAATGCACTCAAAAAATTTGATCGAAATGGGAAAGCACCCCCATGAATGCATCATGTAGTATTCGGTAATGCATCAAAAACATACCATATTCCTTTCGACGAAGACTTATTGGTCGTCTTATCAAAATACGATTGATCAACTCGAAGTTTCAGTTCTTCTAGTTTGTAAACTGCCTCCTAAAGAAAGCTTTGTTACCACAGACCAACTCTTACGTTCATAATCTTGTAGAAGTTCTGGTATGTTGTATAGAAGTAACTACTAAGTGGTCTACCATTCATGTCACATTGCAATTCTAGAAGAGTATCACCAAAGTATAAATAACTAACGTTTTTGTGGAGGAAATACCAGGTGAGGTTCCTACATTTATCAAAATCAAACAAAAAGTTCTCACTTTGAAAACAGGACGAGCACGCTTAGTGTACAATGAGGACGGTAGAAGATATTCAATAGCCTCATTGACCTGTTCTGGCGTGAAGTGTACAGGATCATAACCCATAATTTGAGCAAGGTACTTTCTACCAATTTCATATTCCTTCTTTTCCAAATTAAATGTCATTTCTGAAGGTGAGTCATAAGTAGGCCATACCATCTTCTTCAATATTCTTAAGGTACCCCTTAATAGAATAAGCTTTATTATTGTTTGAGATTCCCAGTGACATATTCCTGCAAGGAAAACGAGGATGAAGGAATCTAAATAAAAAAAACGTGCGACAAAGTAGCGCACTCATTCCTTCTGCCCGATGTGCACTACGCAATATTCAATATCCTTCACAAAGGCCAGCAAACACCGATTGATTTCTATACGCTCGGTTCTTGTTCTTTCTGTGCGGATCCAAGTTGTTGATAGTATTCAATAGATAATAGTCTAGTCACTCGACTGCACTAAGTCTAGTCAGTTGGCAGTTTGTTCCGTGATTTGAGTGGGCAGTAGGGGTTCTGGATACTAGCATCTATCACGTTACCTGGCCAGAGATCAGTTAGTCGCAATTTCGCAAATAATGAGGAGAAAATTCTAACGCTTATGAGATTTCAGAGCGAATAAATAAATAGATAAATAAGTCAACTAAATGGCATTGAAGATTGCACGAGATGACAGAAGTGTGAACAAAGATGAAGAAACGGAGCTAATAAGAGCGATAGATGAAGTTAGTGATTCGAGGAAGTGGAAACAATGACGACTAGCAAGTTTCGAGCCATGAATCAGACACAACTGGTCCAAGAGAGAGATGTTAATTCAAATGTGAGTACGTTTTATCAAGTCTCTTCTTGAAGCCGTCCACTGAGGGAGCTGTGGTCACCTCGGTCAGGAGAGCGTTCCAAGTTAGGACTACTATTAATGAGGAAACGTGTGCACAACCCTGGGTTTCCGCTCTTTGATGTGTGATTTTTCGAAGATTACCACAAGGAGCGTAGTGGTGGTGCTTCTGCAAGATTCTCATGTTGGAATTTTTCTGCGTGCTCAATATATTGTGCACCATTATCAGATAACCTCTCATTTTCCTGTAAATCACAAAGAATCATCCCAGATGCTGGAGTCTATTTTCGTAAGGTTTGTTCTTCAACCCCATCACTCAGTTGCTCGTCTCTGCACTCGATCGAGGTGATTTATGTATCTTTTATGGAGAGGAGATGTGAAGACATTGTGAATTTCAAAGTGTGGGCGTACGTATGTTTGAAACTGTGTTAGGAATAATTCGGGGATGATCGCAAAAATTTTTATTTGCACAAATTGGAGAATTGCGTTAGCCACTCCTGCGTCCCCTATGTAGTTAGAACTTGTGTTTAGGCTTCTGTGGTTATTAAACTGAGGCTTCGCCCTAAGGATAAATTTAGGAGCGGTCTTCGATTGTGGTTGTAAAATGTTTGATCCCGAATTACATTCGGTTTAGCTGTTTCAAAGTGTTTTTCAGATGATTTGAATAACGAAATATTATTTTGAATATAGATAACTAATGATAGATGAAATTCAGTATATAAAGTCACAAAACCCAGCTTTGAAAGATTTCACAACGGCCCAGAGAAGGTCTTGGCAAACTTAATAAGCTGAACAAAAATATCCATCAATTACAATGAAGTACTCTCACACTAGGCTCAGTGAGTCATTATTACACACTACCATCGTATTTTTCAGACTCAGAGAAATGACAAGTTATTTATCTGCAGTATTTGATTAATATTTCTGATAGCAAATAAACAATGGGCTCTTGTAATGACGAAGCACACATCAACATACTATGCATTTTAAACGAAATCTTGTTTGTAGTCAAGTTTTGTTTATAGTATTCGCTGATAAACCACGAGACTGGTGACCTCGAACAACGTTGTCATTCAGAGCTTTCGAAACGATATATGGCTAGATGAAGTTTGGTTGAAACGAGCTACGGAACACGAAAACGACCGTGCCCGTAATCACGGATTTTATATCTAGTCATGATGAGTGATGAGAATAAAGGAACATTTTAAAGCATTGTCTTTCTACTTACACGAATGACTTTTGAGTACAATATCTTATCGTCAGATTTGTGAGCAGCCTAGGAGACTGTACGGACGTCCGAACCGAAACAGATAGCTTTTATAGCAGTCGTCGAGCCGTTGACCTAATGGTCTAATCGATTGGACACTGAAATAACGTTATCTGACAAGACAACAATTAATATGAGGAGGAATAGCGGACCTAAGATGGTCCTCTGTGAAACTACTGATACTGAGACTCGCCACCTCAGGTGCATTCTATTTACCTTGGCACGAGACATTCTGTTCGCGAAGTAGTTGATCAGTTAGGAGTACGTTGGGGTTCTAAGTCTAAGAATTTTGCGAAGTAAATGGATATTACATGAACCTGTGTTTTTAGGTCCTAGCAGGTTTTCCAGCTGTCCCTTGATGTGCAGGATCTACAGTTCATCATTCCGTTTCGGGCTTCATGGAGGATGATGTTCTTATTCGTGTACTCCCTCATTCTCTCACTCACCTGTCTTTTCATAACCTTCGCTTTTGTCAACCGTATTTTGTTTATGATCATCTTAAACGCGACTGCACCATTGTTACTACTTCCTTTCTGTGTGTGAACATGGACATTCTCGACTTGGAGCCGGTCTTTTGTTAAAATATTATAGGCCTTTGATGGTTTTCCATCATCCCTACATCCAGTGGCGTCACATGTGCTAAGTCAGTCCGTAACTTCTAATAGCTCTGACAATTTGCTTTTGGGACCACTCTCTTAGATTTACACACTGTTTGCCAATATTTAGGGATGGAGTGTTGAAATCTTCAGCTGTTAATGTTTGATCAAAACCCCAAAAGTGGTATTTTCCGTAAATAAGAACTTCTCGACAAATGAGGCTAGGCTTACACTCTTCAAAATGTGTGTAAGGCCCTCACTTGAATATCGCTCACTTATCTTCTCAAACATGAATATCATGGACAAGATACGAGTAGAAAATGTCCAAAGAGGCTTCACCCGGCGACTGCTAGGATGGCACCCTTTTATGGTCCACCAAATATTTAGAATAACCTTAGAAATTAATAACAGACCATGAATATATTGCACCCGCATTTCCATCCGTACAGGTACCACGAGATAATAGATGAGTCTCCCCACTCCTACTAATAGTAGAAAGTCACAGCTTTGAGGTTCTACCCGCAACATTCGGAGTTTTCTTAAAATTTAAATGGGAATCATTATCTTCTTATTTTTCACAGCACTTTTCGGTTTTTTTCTAGTAGACAGATAAATTGAAAAGCTTGCAAATGCTGCCCAATTACTGTCAATTACAAGGGACTCAAACTTCCTGTATCATTGTGAGTTCCTTCTTGTTCGCGTATTAACAGTTTAATGAATTTTCATTTCCCCAATTTATTAACACCAAAACATCTTGCTGTCTTACCCATTTATCGCCTTACGCATGAATTTCTAACAGTTTTTCCTCTTTTTCTTTCTTCAGAAGCCTATCCCTCCTATCTCCAAACTACCTAGTAACTGACCCATATCTTACAACTTATACTATTAGTTAACTTAATAGCAATGTGATATGCTACGGGGATACTTAGTCCAACGTACAGAAGCCAAAGTTGCCTGGTTTGCTTGTAACGTGAAGCTGGTAGAGAAAGTGTATTCCGACAAGGTGTACAAAAAATAGAGCTTATACTAAAAATAATTATTTAAAATCTACCACTAAACGTAAGAGAGCCTAACATTATAAAAGGAGGGAGGGTGGTGTATCTGACCAGCATTCACGACGGTGGGGGCGATAACCTCAATATCCCCATGTCTGTGGGGCAGAACATTTTGTTTGCTTGCTGCTCCTTACGATATAGCAGCATCTAACTGATCAATCATATTGATGTTACTTTTCCTTGTTAACCACGTCTACGACTCATGTTTGTAACCTTGCATTGGTTTCACTTCCTACCAAGAAATCCTATTGCATGCGGACCCAAAACATCACGGTGAAAAAGAGCTCACCTGGTACTTCTTGAACTATAGCGTTAAAAAGAAGGGTAAACAAAATATCACTAAAGCATCAGATCACTGTGCCCTCATTATTATGTTCCGTATTTCTGTTCTGTATTTTTAACAATTTAGTTCTGAATTCCCTCTATTCATATGATTAATTGTCCATTTGTTATCTTACCAGTGACTTGTCTGAATTAACCTACATAAGTGCAGATGTACAGTTAGTGTCCAAAAAAAGAAAAAGGTATGAGTAAACATAACTTTATTTTGTCCGAAAAATATTATCTGCAGAGTAATTTTTCGGCTTTGAGCAAGAATATTTTCTGTTCTGCTCCTTGCCCCATTCTCTCTATCTCTCTTTTCAGAACCTTATTCTTACCTTCTTACGCCTGTTACCTCAATGGAGCATAGGCCGCCGACCAGTTTTCTCCGACCAACTCTGTCCTGTGCTTCCCTTGCCAGTCCTTTCCAATTTTCGTTCATTTTTCTCATGTCTTTATCTATTTCTGAGAGTACTGTGTTTCTTAGCCTTCCTCTTTTCCTCATACGCCCGCGCCTCGAATTTGACG